CTTTTTTTTTTTTTTTTTTTTTTTTTTTTTTTTTTTTTTTTTTTTTTTTTTTTTTTTTTTTTTTGTTTACAGTACATTCAATGTCAACAATGATTTTAAGTAAAAGACTCGTTGAAAACAGAGTATATTAGCAGTAATCTTTCTATTATTGGTTAGAAAACAAGGCCTACTTTTTTGGGACTGCAATTTGTCTTTCAGCTTCAAAGTTCATTAAATAATCTGAATTCCAAATCACTTTTACTTTGTTTTCCTTCTTTTTGATCTTCCCTTTTCTGGGTTTTTTGTTTCTTTATGGTAAAAAGGAAAAAAAAGAGATTTTTTTCCATTTTTTCTTGGTGCTGAAGCGAACACCCAACAACTGAGCATTAACAGTAGCGCAAAGCGCAATTGGCAGGCGATACAGTTGCGCACATAATTCTGAATAGCGTGGACTGGCATGCATTCATCTACGTGTCTCATTGCTACCCTCTTATTCCAGAATCTTTCAAAAAAAAAAAAAAAAAAAAAAAAAAACCTCGAAAGCTTCATGTAAACTGTGACCGCAAATCCCCCATGGTAGTCGGTTTCTCTCACCTGCAACTCTTTTCCCCTGATCCTTTTCCTCCCATTCCATTTCTCCATCTATCCTCTATCTCCGTTTGATTTTCACTGGGTTTCAACTTTGAGCTCAAGTTTTGTAGAACAAAGCAGCTTTTTATGGATTTAAGGGATATGAGGTACGTGGGTCTCGTTAGATTTCTGTATACTCTGATGGGTATCTGCCAATTTTGTTGCTGTTTTTTGTTTATTCAACTTCTTGTTGTTCATCATCCTTCATTTCTCTCTATGATTCGGAAAGTGATTCTGTGAAATTTGAACTACTGATGTGTTTTTATGGGTTTGAGTTAATTTGTGATTGCTTCTCTTTGGGCGACATTTGGATGGTGATAATTTGAGTTGGAAACTTCTTTCGATTCATGTGAACCTTGAAACAGTACACAGTAGAAAATGGATTAATATTACCTTAGGACATCTCATTGTTCCACTACGTTTGTGTAGCCCTTTCCAAAAGCTGCAACTGACATTGAAAATCCAGGAAACGAAACTTGTTGCTTCTTCTCTAAGAATTAGATTCACACACATGGAGAGTGGCTAACTTCTGAAAGATGGGACTGTTAAGATTGTCTATGTACATCTTATCCGAGTTAATTGTTATTTTTTGCTGCTTTAGAGGAACTGTGATCTTTTTTTGGTGTTTTCTTGTTTGTCTCTATGTAATGTGCTGTAATCAATGTATGTGCATATTACTTGTTTATACGTTTGGATTTTGTGAGCCTAGAATAATTGTCATGTAATATATAGACCTGTATATTTTGTTTTAGCAAGGGATATTGCAGTTGGACATTCATCTATGGATACTCAAATTTATCCTATATCAGTGTATCTCATAAGTCAGAACAATAATCTTTTTACCCTTGAAACCCATCATACCCTTTATCTCGAGCTCGAAATTGCTTTTATAAGCTGGGTAAAGGGGTGGGTATCCGCTGCTTAGTTATCCACCTTGTTGCAAAAGCCATCATAACCTTTATCACAAGCTCAATATTGCTTTTATATTCTGGCTAAAGATAGGACTTATATGAGAATCGTTTGCTTAATTGCCACCTTGCTGTCCCTTGCTGCAAAAGGTAACTTTGGAATGATACAAAACATTGATTTTCGTTACTTGGATTGGCGATATTTCTTCGTAACATGCATACAAATGCTGGACTGTCTCTACAAGTACAAACTATTGGAATGACTTCTTATCGGTCTAGTTTGAAACAAATTGGAATGATCTTTTCATGAGTTAAAATAATGTTTGCGTAACTTTCTCCTTTCTGTTCTGTCATATTTCTTGCCTGTTGTATAGTCTTCCACTTACGTGCTAGCGATTGCATCAACCCTTAATGTTGCATTATGTGCTTCCTCGTGCGATAAACTGAAGGTAGGAGTTCTTTTTTCTTTCTTCTCAAAAAAAAAAAAAAGGTGCAACAAAACACAACTAATGTGAGCCCAATTGCAGAGCGGATAATTGAGGTATTGCACTGAAGATGAATGAGGACTATAAAAGCATTGAACCGGGGACGGATTTAGGACTTGGGTTGGGTCACACAGACCAATGTATTCAGGGAAGATTGACCAACAAATTAGGTGTAGGTGCAAATGCAGGTTCAATGGTGGATGTGAAATATGTTACCACCGACTCCCTGTCTGAACTAGTTTGGTCTCCACACAAAGGTTTGAGCCTTAGATGCGCCAATTCCAGCTTCAATAATAGAAAAACTCCGATCTTGTGGGATGCAGCTGCCAATAACGCAAGTTTTGTACTGCCACGAAGTGTAATAGCAGGGAAATCTACTTCCAATAATTTACTTGATAATAGAACTATTACTATTTCACAAGCAGAGAGTCAATTGAAGAATATATCTGAGGGTAAACAAACTTCAAATAATACCAGTTCTGATGATGCTGCCTGCATGACAAGCGAAGCTCATATGCATAAACTAAAAAAAGGTATATTTTAGCTGATGGTTGTTTAAATGTATACTATGTGAAAGTTTTACGAATCCAAGTCGATCATACTGCATCTTTCATCATATTTTGTTTAATATGCTTGCTAGTTCTTTCTGCCCAATTATATTCTTGTTCCTTGAGTCTTTTCCCAGTTAGGATGCACTTACCTTCCAGGGGTGGGAAACCTTGCAAACGAAACAGTTTGCAGGGCAGCAGTATCTGTTGTATGTTCTAAACAGGAAGATCTACAAGCAACTGGAGTGGATATAACTGATGCAGGAAACATTCCGGTGAACGAAGTATTGACAGTTGGGAAAAATGACTGGGAAAAATGACTGCTCATGCTTGCCATGTATGCTGAGACCAATGCAGTTTGTTCTATTGATCGGAAACATATTTGCTTGAATATTTCATTTTCATGCTCTAATTTGTCTTTACATGTAAAAAATATATTCATTGGAAAACCTTCTGGTTGCGTTTGTCAAATAGTTGGTTCCTCTATTTCATCTTCATGTTTGAAATTTTATTGACTTAATCTCTCTTGCAGTTTGTGTGAACAGAATAAATGAAGTATCAATGAAGCAAGGTGAACCTGAGCTTGATAAAGTGCAGCATAACTTGTTAGATATGGATCCAAATGGTGGAGACATAAATGAAGGTCATAATAGTACCGCAGGAAAGGGTGTTCTTCAACCCTTGAATGTGTTTGATCCTACTGTCTCTCATCCAACTTTTTTGGGGAAACTGGAATCATCTGCAGAAAATGACTTACTAAATATAAATGATAAAATCGGTGGGTTTGAGGGAAGTAAAATTTTAGTGACAGTGGTGGATTCTTCCCATGAAGTGAGAGGCAGTAACCAGCCAGATGGTAAAGACAATTGCAAAGACACGGGTGATTCAGCTTCTCCAAGTAACTGTGGTATGCATTGGATACAAAGGAAAGGCAAGGAAAAGGCTCTGTCTGATGGTAATGTTCATGGAAGAATGTTGAACAATGAAGACAACAGCTACGGAAGTGTTGAAAGCTGTAACAGTGCTTTTCTTGCAGCTTCGAAGAGGCGATGGGGCTTTGAACAACACTTAATTGTTGGGAACAAAAGAGCCAAAATGCAAGACGATAATGCTTCTGGTCCAACGTCGAACTTAGGTCAAGACAGCTCTTTCATGAACTGGATATCTAACATGGTGAAAGGATTCTCTGAGTCGATACAAGAGGAGGCACCTTCTCTTGACCTTACCCTTGCAAAATCTGATGTTGAACATAGGGGCCTAAATGAAGAACTGATGGACAAGAAGATTAATACTCCTGGGGTCGGTGGCATTGGTTTTCAATCTATCTTCCGGTCCTTGTATGATCCAATCACGAGAGGTGAGGACGGAGCGCCTAGTGCAACCAAACAAGAAGCTAAGGAGATTGAAATGATTAAAAACAGTTGTGATCTTAATGCAACTCCAATAGCATGTTTTGGAGAGTCTGATAAATTTGGCAAACAACTTCTGCTAAACAATGAGAATGTGACAGAGTTTTTATCTGGAAATGAACCAACCATACTAATTCAACTGAAGAATTCACCTGAAATTTCTTGTGGTAGTCATCAAAGTCATAAAACCAAGTCTGAGGAGAACTTGAATTCATACAATCTTGTAAGTGGTGCTGGAACAGGTGAAGTTATCCACCACTCTGCTTTGGATAAATGCAAGTCCAACAGTACAGAGAATGTTGACTGCAATCTACCATGTGGAAAGATTAACCATACTGCTGGTAATACGAGTGATCCTCTCAAAAGCTTGTGGATTTCCCGTTTAGCCGCAAAAACCTCTGGGGTTATGGCAAACCCAGAAACTTGCAACCTAAATACCAAGGATGATTCCCAATGTTCCATGCACAGTCCTGGACTGATTCCTTGCCCTCAAAATCAAATTGGTCATCATTCCATGGATGACTTGGACACTGCTGTTAGTAAGGAACAACGTAATACAGCTAGTTCTGAGGCTTCTCCTGGTCATAAGGAATTCAAAAGCCATAATGAGCAGAAATCTATAAGTAAGTTCAAATCTGTTTTACGTTCTCCTAAAGTAAGAAGTCCAGAGGCGATGGCTTCTGTCTTTGCTAAGAGATTAGGTGCATTCAAACACATCATACCGTCAGATTTGACCGTAAATGTGGGAAATGAAACTGTGATCTGTTTCTTTTGTGGCACAAGAGGTCATAATCTACATAATTGTTCTGAAATTACAGAGAAAGAAATTGAGGACCTTTCAAGAAATATCAGGTTGTGTAATGAAACAGTAGATCCCCCTTGTTCGTGCATACGGTGCTTTCAGCTCAATCACTGGGCTATTGCGTGCCCACTTGCTGACTTGAGAGGTCAACAGCCAACTGAGTCCCATGCATCTTTGGCTGATTGTTATGATACTGGTGAGCTCCAACTTGCTTCTGGGATTGGTTTAAGTGCCAAACCGCAACACGTTGAAGATAGAAAAAAGGACGGTGTTGCATCTATGCTAGATGATACTGATGATCCCAATATCGAAACTGATCGTAGACCTGATTGCAAAGCCACTGAAGAAGTGAAGTCTGCAGCAATGTCGATTCCAAAATGTGTTATTCAAAGATCTCCAGAGAAAAGTTCGAAAGGAAGTAAGATGGTCCATGTCGACCGCTTCGTTGACAAGCCGAATTCCGGTATACCACAAGTGGTTTTCAATGCAGTAAAAAAACTTCGACTGTCTCGAAGCAATATTCTCAAGTAAGTAGGAACAAAATTTTATCCCTCATTTCTATTCTCATTTTTTACACTTTCCCCATACAATTATGGACGTTTGAGCCTTAGTAACTAAGATCTTCACATTTCTGCATTTAAAGTCTTATTTTAATATCTTTACAAAGTGAACGCTACATATTGAATCCAACTGTTTGAGGCATTTAAGTATTAAGTTGAGCTATTATGGGCCATAAAATTATCTGTGATTAAGCTTAATCATAGGTTTGATTATCTTAATGATTTTGTTCTCAAGATGCTGGAGCAAGGTTTGTGTTTACACGTACTTTTGATATTTTAATGTTCTTATTGTTTTTGAGTTTTTTGACACTCCCCTGCTGGCTACTGTCGATATGTATCATTCTCCGGCATGGATATCACTTAACTGAAGAATGTTCTGAACTTGTTCTTCAATTCCCGAAATGATCATACATGGGAACTCATTTTTCTTATTAGAGAGTGCATTTTTCCTAAAACTGATCATTTCTCTATTGCATCGCCACCAGGTGTATGAACTCCCACATGTCACTGTCACTTCTTGATGGTTTTTTCTTGCGTATTCGGCTTGGGAAGTGGGAAGAAGGACTTGGGGGAACTGGGTACCATGTGGCTTGCATAAAGGGTAAAATGCCTACCTATTAAAACTTGCTTGACTTACTATCATGCAAACTTCTGCTGTCGTAGATTGACCTTTCTTTATCCCTTACATTCTAATACACCATTAATTCTCTTCTAATTTCTTCTGAAATTTTCATGTCCATGTATTTCCAGGTGCACAACTCACAAAAAATTCTATTTCTGTTATAGTTCGAGGGGTGGAATGCCAAGTTCAGACCCAATACATTTCCAACCATGATTTTCTTGAGGTATAAACCTATACCCTTTTTGTGACTGAGGATAAATGTAACGGTGTGCTTGGGCTGTTACAAACGGTACTAGAGCCAGACACCGAATGGTGTGCCAACGAGGACGTTGGCCCCCAAGGGGGTGGATTGTGAGATCCCACATTGGTTGGAGAGGGAAACGAAACATTTGTTACAAGGGTGTGGAAACCTCTCCTTAGTAGACATGTTTTAAAACCTTGCAGGGAAGCCAAAAGTAGACAATATCTGCTAGCGGTGGGCTTGGGCTTGGGCTAGAGCTAGAGCTATTATAATAAATTACAATTTCTGGATGTTATAGAAAGGCTTCAATAATTCTAGCCGTTGAAGTCCAATGCTATAGTCTTTACCCTGAACCTTATTTCTTTCTGTGATTCGAACTCTTATGAGTTCGGTCAATCCTTTTGTCTTTGTTAATATTGGTTCTCGAAAATTATTTCTGGGTTTCAATTTATGTCCACCTTCCCATATTATAGCGTTCGAATTAAAACAGCCAAGATGAGAAGTAGAAAAATGAGATGATTTCTTGAGGCTATTAAAACAAACCCAACTTGACTGTCTTGCAGGATGAGCTGAAGGCATGGTGGTGTACAGCTTCGAAGGATGGCAGCAGAGTTCTTCCGCTGGCAGCAGATTTAAGAGCCAAAGTGAAAAAGAAAAAGGAGTTGGGTTTATAAGCAAGCACAATGGTTGAAGTTATGTTGCACAAATTCAGTCTGTGTTAAAACTGTACATATAATTATTGCCATACATCCCATACCTACGGCTTGAAATTCAATTGAACAGTGTCCAATGAAACAAACAGATACTTGTTTAACGATGTTATCTATATGGGTGTGTCATTGATGCTGTCTGGTTGGATTTCATGAAAGGCAGTCTTCCAACTTTATTGTAACTCGTGATAATGGGACAAGTTTTTGCCACTTTTTCTTTTAAGGTCGACATGTATTTTCACACCTTTATATTCAAATTATTGAAGCATAGCCGCCTCAAGGGTTTGCTGTTAAGATGCTTAGTTTTTTTGTCTACTGTTTTATATTTGGCTTTTTCTATCAGCATTTCTTACACATTTTAGCTGTATTGTTTTTTTAAATAATAATTGAGTTACGAAATGGCTCACAATTTTTTTCACTATTATTATGTCATGTGTTGTGCTATGATATTCTTATGCCATGGTTCGTTAACTACGTTCACTTCATGTTTACGAGATAGGAAGAAAGTATGCAAGATATGACGAGTATTATGTATGCGTGCCTCGTAGGTTCATTATGTCATGAATGAATGGAGATATGACTTACATCGTAAACTTATGTTATGATTTTAAGCTATGGGACTTTATGCATTTATATATGTCATGTGCATCTAGTAGCGTGAGAGTGCGTTAACCCAACAAGCCAAGCTCAAGGGGTATACATACGAGTCTGCTTGGAGGGCTCATGTACGCATGCATGAGTTGTGTGTAGGAAAGTACTACACATCAAACATTATCCAAACGGGGAGTGGAGTTCAAGGCCATGGATGTTTTCTTTATTTTTTTTTTTAATTTTTATGAAAGAATATGTCTCACCATATTGCATGTGATTGCATTCTCCGACCCTGACAGTGGGGCTACTTACTAAGTATTTTATAAAATACTCAAGTAACGTGCTATTCTTATTTTTTAAGTAAAGGTAAGACACCCTTATTCAGGTGACGCATCATAGTAGAAGTCGTAGGACCGAGATAGAATAGTTACATTCATGTTCGTTTTAGTAGGACTTGAATAAGATCGAGGTTGAAATTAAAAATAAAAATAAAATCCAAATTTGGGATTTTGAATGCCAAATAATAATGAATTTGTGCATGTGTTCATAATTGACAATGGAGGAAATTGCATCGTTGACCCTTTTACTTTTAATGGGCCGTGTTGGTTTGGAAATGACCTAATTGACGGAAACAATTGTAAGGAACTTTCGTGTATTATATTTTTTTTTTTTCGTTTTTATTGACTCCAATTCCTCTCTTTCTTTTCCCCCCTTTTTCCGAAACGATTTCACACAATTTCTTAAATTAGTGTTAGGTGTGTTTGAAAAGGTTTAAGAGTATGTTATTGAGTATTACTTCTCAATAGATCATATAATATATTAGTAGTCATTAAATATATCATTCATATCTTAATGTTATATTAGTAAGGTAATATCAAATTCTATCACCAATATATTCCATTAGTTGAATTAGAACAATGCGAAATTAGGGTATAAAGTCTGAATTATAGGTAGGGAAGAACACCCATCGTCGACCTCATTCCTTATTGGTGATGATACCACAAAAGTGAACACATTCCTCAACTTGATATCAACCAATGGCAATAAAGACTTTAGAGAGTGGGGAGAAATGCACTCAAGTCCAATCCTTCACAATAATTGTAGGCAAAATGATATTAGACTTAGACGTACATGTAACAATAATTTCGATTAAAAGTGAAAATGATTATTTAAATATTTTTTTTAGAGTTTTTTCCTTTAAAATGTATTTAAATATCTTCGTGACTTCTACATTTACTGGGGAAAAAAAAAGAAAAAAAAAAGGTAAAGTTGCATTGCAAAAAAGAAGGGGCTATTATTGGAAGTAGTGGCTTAGACCTAGACAAGCACTACCTTCCACTTTTTTCCTTTGGGTTTATCCATTCATTTATAATCTGATTATTTTAATTTTTTATTTTATTTTATGCTTGACAAATTTCAATAATTAATTCAATTTCTTTTCTAATGTATTTAATAAATCAAAGGAGACTAAATTTATAAACATCACTTTATAATATTATAATAATTAATAAGTTTTATATAAACGTTTCAATTACAATTTTTTAAAACATTTTTCATAGTGGAAATGAAAAGGAAGATCAAATTTGATTGACAAAGATAGCCATAATGACTTGGTTACATTACTTTTTGCCAATAATTCAATGCTATACCTAAAGAAGATTGATTATGGGTTTAGAAACTTGCCAAAATTATTGTGAAGAAAATATAACTTCCTACTAAATTAGGTTTAATTAACATTCACAAATTTAATAAAAAAAAATAATTAAGATATGACATAAAGTTAACTATCAAATATTTTTAGATAATTAATATATCTTAATTCTTCGATATCAAATTATATATGTATTTGGTAGATGAAAATGAAATTAAATAATTTATTGAAAAAATAATCATATTATTTAGTATATGGTAATGATATTTATTAAATGTAATTAATTAATAAAGTTTAAAAATATAAAAAAATTAATTAAGATAATTATTAAAAATGGAGACGAAGACAAATTCTAATTAATTCGATTTTAATATTCCTCAATCCGCATTGGAACTTTCAAATAGAAAGACGGGTATTTTGTGGGTTTATTTTATATTTATTTTTTATTTGACAGAGTCTATTTCTAGAAATGTTTTTTTTAAAATAATTTGAGCAAATATATGAAAAATCTAACATTTAAAAAAAAAAAATTGATTTATTAATTACAATCAGAAACGTTGATAAGACGTTTCCGATTTTCTGACTAAAAATTCCTGTAAGAATGGTGTATTAAATAATTTTATGAGATCTCCAAATCCAATATACTTAACATAATGATTAAAATAATTCAATAATTAAAGCAGGAGAATGAGCATACAAATAAACAGAAACGAAATAAAATCCAACTTTTTATACGAAAAAAATAATTAATTTTTGCACGTAATCGCGACGAAAATTTAGATTTAGAAAAAAAAAAAAAAAAAAAAAAAAAAAAAAA